TCCGGCCTCAGGAAAGAGCTGTCCAGGTTACTATGTCCCTGTGCTCCCTGAATTAGTATATTCGATTATGGCCTCGCACCGGCCTCCCTGCGTTGTGATTTTGTATTGTATCAATTCATGTGCGTATCGGGTGAGTGGTGCGTACATTCGACGCCAATAAAGTTCGACGGAAAGAATTTCGCTGTCGCTTTTTGTTTAATCGGCGGAAGGCCATATTGGATTTTAATGTTTTACTCAAAATGACTCCTGGGAAAATACGGAGGATGAGGAGGGAATGCGAATGGAGAGGATGCAAGAACAAAGCAGGGTTGTCACGAACTGTGTGGATGTTGCTTTTCCTGGGATTTGAAAAGTATTGTTTCAGTTCCGATAATGCAAACATCACTCGTGTTCGCGGATGTCAGCTTGGAAATGGAAAATTGGGGAATGACTCGGCACAATGTGTTACACACACACACACACACACACACACACACACACACACACACACACACACACACACACACACACACACACACACACACACACACACACACACTCACACTCACACTCACACTCACACTCACACATATACATACATACATATACACATGTATATGCAGAAAGAAAGAGAAAGAGAAAAAGAGAGAGAAAGAGAAAGAGAAATTGAAATTGAAATTGAGGGAGACAGACAGACAAAGAGAGAGGCAGACAGAAAGATTGATAGATTGATAGATGGATAAGGAGAGAGTTAGACAGGATTAATGGATATATTTTAAAAGCAGAAAAATTTGACAGGGGACGACAAACAATCACGATTCATTCTCGCGTTTGGCCTGCGGTCATTCCTCTTTCTCTTGCTCCTCGTCAATTCGTTGTTGTATTATTTTTTATTGCATATATATTGCTTATATGCTGGGGAAGGTTTCGCCAGGTTGCCACAGAAATTATTGGCGATACGGGGGTAGTATCAGGACTACCACGAGCTCCCCCCCCCCCCCCCCGTCAGTTCACGTAAGAGGCCAGGAGAGGAGTTTGGGGATGGGTTAGGACGAGGGATAGAGAGAAGGAGAGAAAGGAGGAGTGGGGAAAGGATAAGGATAAAGAGAGGAGAGGGAGAGGGAGAACGAGAACGAGAACGAAACCGAAAACGTTAAGGAAAGAAAGAGATAGAAGGGGGAGGATAAGGATGAGGATAAGGAAAAGAGAGAAGAATAAGAATGAGAGAGAGAGAGAGAGAGAGAGAGAGAGAGAGAGAGAGAGAGAGAGAGAGAGAGAGAGAGAGAGAGAGAGAGAGAGAGAGAGAGAGAGAGAGAGAATCTGTATCAAAGGTTACTGTGTATACAGTTTCCGGTATAAAGTGAGTCATGCCATGTTTTATTGCGTCTGTTTCATGTATTCATTTGCGTGTGTGCATAAACCAGTGTCGGCGAAATTATAACTTGCCTCAAAGGGCGTCTGTGAAAGGCTTGCAAAGATCTCATCTCCGAGAAGCACTCCATGCACACTTGCAAGGCAGCGGACCAAAGGTATGCTAATCATTTAAAAGAAAAATCCCGGAGCATTAATCTTTGAATAGTGAGCAAATAAAGGATTGAAGTAGTTTGGCTTGTTTTTTTACCTTTTAACTTTTTTTCTGTCTCTCTGTCTCTCTCTGTCTTTCTGTGTTTCTGTGTCTCTGTGTCTCTACTATCCGAATTCCATCTCATTGCCATCCCTCCTCTCTCTTTCTCTCCCTCTCTCCTCTGCTCCCCCCTTTCCTCCCTCCCTCCCTCCCCCCCTCTCCCCCCTCCCTCCCCCCTCCCTCCCTCCCTCCCTCCCTCCCTCCCTCCCTCCCTCCCTCTCTCCCTCTCTCCCTCTCTCCCTCTCTCCCTCTCTCCCTCTCTCCCTCTCTCCTCTCTCCTCTCTCTCTCTCTCTCTCTCTCTCTCTCTCTCTCTCTCTCTCTCTCTCTCTCTCTCTCTCTCTCTCTCTCTCTCTCTCTCTCTCTCTTTCTCTGTCGCCCATACAATATATCTATATTTCCATTATGCAACATAACTTGTGTGATCAATAGAATAACGTAACTTTCCTCGATCAGGTCCGGCGCTGGGATGGGTTCCGTGTGGAAGAGGTTCCAGCGCATCAACAAGAAAGCTGCCAAGTTCCAGTTCACAGCCTCGTATCATGAACTGGCTCTCACTGCGACTCCTAAATGGTAAGTGAGGTGTCCTGTTTTTTCTTTTTTTTCTTCTCTTCTCTTTTTTTCCCTCAGCGATGTTTCCCAGCGTAGAGTCCCGTGGCGGAGAAATTTGGAAATTGGATATATTCTTTTGATATTTTGGGGGATAGTCCGAAGGATCCATGGCAGGCTTTTCTAGAGAAATGCATTAGGTGTATGGCACTGTTGTAGTTAGGGTCCTCGGTATGCCAAATCATCTGTCTTAGTCTTTAGGGTACATTTCCGTTGCTATCCGATGGAGAGGAGGATGAGGGAGAGAGAGAAGAGGAAGATGAAGGGAAAGGGAAAGAGGAAAGAGAAGGGGAAGGGGAAAGGGAAAGGGATGGGGAAGGGGGTGTAGTGGATGATGATAATAATGATACTACTTTTACTATTAAAATGGTGATATAATGAATGAGAAGAAGAAGAAGAAGAAGAAGAAGAAGAAGAAGAAGAAGAAGAAGAAGAAGAAGAAGAAGAAGAAGAAGAAGAAGAAGAAGAAGAAGAAGAAGTAGTAGTAGTAGGAGGAGCAGCAGAAGTTGAAAAAAGTTTTATCGAGCGCGGTATGGCTGGATTCTTGGAGCCCAGATCCCGAGATCCTCGCCGATGTTTCGGGCTGGACTAAAGCTGTAGCCATCCGGGGCCGTCATTGGGAATTCTCCGGACTCCGTTAGTTTATAACTTCATCTGGATTCATGCATACCCCGTTTGTTATTGTGCTTCCCCTTAGATTTTCATGGGAACGAGCTCTTAGCAGTTATTTGGCCCGGTCGCAGATATCCCTCCACCGCCTTTTGCAATGTAGGCATGCCAGAAGAATCCAGTATACATAAATTGTCTTGTCTCTCAACAAACCTTATTTGTGTCTAGTGCATATTTCGTCCCTTTACCAACACAGCAAACCGATTTGTTATTCCTCATGGACCCTCCACCTCCGCGGCCGACGCAGGCAGGAACTGTAGCATGACTCCACCTTGGCTCTGGCAGAGGACGCTTCCGGAATTAATCCTCGCGGACCATTGCCTGACTCGCCTCATCGACTACCCGATCCAAGCGGACCCGTGCATGATAGGTGGTTGCGTCTCGCCGGCGCGCGGGTGGCGGCGGCGGCGGCGGCTGGGTCATGCGCATGTTGTGGGGAGAATGTTGACCGGTGGTGTTGCTCTTATGCTTCGGTTTTGGCGCCATGGTTGTTCGCCGGGGTGGGTTGGCGTGGTCGTGATGTAGGGGACAGTATTCGGAATAATTCGGTTGAGAATTGCAGTCTAGAAATAGCGCGGGGGAGCAGTAGCAGGAGCAGGAGCAGGTCCGGCGCTGGCATCACAGCTTTAGCCCGGTGTTGATGACGGCAGCGGCGGATGGGTAGGTAGGATACCGCGACGACATTGCCTATTTATCATGCCACACTCAGGGAAATTGGCTGTGGTTAATCTGGAATTGGCGACGGCTGTATCCTCGGCCTCTCGGGATGATGGCTTGTTGGCTGGCGGGTATTCAGCGGTTATTGATAGCAGGGTCGGGCTCGGCCTCGCTCGCGCGCAGGACGCTGTTGCTTCGGGTTTGTATCGTAGGCCCATGATGGGCGTAGTATCAATGGGGCTAATTTTGTTAATGGTGATAGTAATTGTAATGATGATAAAGGTGATAATGGTTCTGCTGCTGAAGATGGCGACATTTATATAGTAATAATGATATTGATATTGATAATGACTACAGTACCGTAACAATAGCAATGACAATGACAGTGATAGTAATATTGATAATGATAACACTGATAAAAAGAACAATGAAGATGATAATGTAAGACACTGTTGAAAATAATAATAAAATAATATCTTCCTAGTAGTTACAACAGGACCTTAAAAACGTCAAAGAACAACATTGAGAACGATATAGAGACGCAATAGTTATTAGTCGTTAGGGAGGAGAGAGGAAATGCAGAAGCAAGTCAGGAAAAATAGTAAAGGAGAAGATAGAGAAGGAAACTGCTTATGAAATGTTAGAAAACATCAGAAATTAATTTCTTCGTTTGGAACTGTGCGAAAAGAGTAGCTACAGATTGCTCCTCAATTCTGTTAATAGATGGAACCTTCCCTCCAGAAAGCAGTTAGAGATGAAGGGTCGGATTATGGGGAAGATATCAGAGGGCGGGTTGGATGAGGCCGCTGTCAGATTGATTGGATAAATAGTTAAAGCATTCGCATCTCAGGGAGGTTAGAAAATCACGGGGGGGGGGGGGGGTAAATCCCAGGGGGGGTGAAGTTAAGTTCAGTGAGGTAACCCCTCCAAAGGAATCATATTAACGGTAAAGCCGATGGCAGTGATGGTATTCATTACCAGAACAGTAATGTTGATAACAAAATAGTAATAATATGATCATCAGCTCGACAGTAATGATAATCCTTAATGCGATCGTAACAGTCATTATTGTCGCTACAACAGGAGCCATGTAGATCTTAGCGCAGGAGTTTGATCGTCCGAACAGCCTGGGAGCTCGCGTTACTGTTTCCCCTCATTATCCACGAGAGCAAAGACCGCGCGGCGTCGTCCACAAAGGTCAAGGTCAAGCAGCATGGCACCCTGGCTATTATCCCGATTGCGGTGCTTTCGCGGCGGCTGACTAATGGGATGAATTCAATTACCGGCATTAATTTGACTTTTTTAGTGATGGAGCGGGAAATGCTAATGAGGAGGGAGTGAGGACAGGTGAGGGACAGAGCGTGCTTTGCGTAGCGTTCACTCTCGTCGCTCGTTGCACTCGAAAAAGAAAAGTGTTTAGGGAAAGATAATAAGTGGTAACAAGAGAGTTGTCTCGAGCGCAGAGAGGACCCGGAACAAAGACAATGCCGGAGCCACCCGGCCGTCGCTCCCTGCTCTCTCTCGGTGCCTTTCCGGTGCCGCCGAGTGCCACGTGAGCAATTAAGGTGCGAGATCTTGTTGCGTTTCAGAGTAGAGCCTCTCTCTCTCTCTCTTTCTTACACGCACACACGCATGCACACTCACGCACACGTACATACACTCTCATACATACACGCCCACTGTGTTGGATCAATGGGGCACTCCACCTTTCGCCTTGTCGTGGTGTGTGGTTGGGGCGAAGAGGGAGAAGAGGAGGAGGAGGAGGAGGAGGAGGAGGAGGAGGAGGAGGAGGAGGAGGAGGAGGAGGGTCAGGGCGAAGCAGAAGTGAAGGATTGTGAGGAAGAATGGGAAAGAATAAAAGCGAGGGCTAATGAAGGAGGCGGAGAAGGAGGAAGAGAAGGAGATGGAGGAGGGAGAGGAAGAGGAAGAGGAGGAGAAGAAGGAGAAGGGGGAGGAGGATTAAAAGAGGGAAGAAGAGGAGGAGGAGGAAGAGGAGGAAAAGAAGGTGAAGTAGAAGGAGGAGAAGAAGGGATGGAAAGTGGAGGTGGACGGGAAAAAGAAGAAAAATAAACGAAAGAAAGAAAAAGAAACGAAAAAATAAATGGAATTAAAGACAGAAAGCAGAAAAGGAAAAAAGAGAAAGAAAGGAAATAAGATAAAGAAAAGAAAGGGAAGGAGAAGAGAAGAAATAAAAAAAGAAGAGAAAGTAGAAGACCAATAACTAAAAAAAAGAAAAAAAACAAGAAAATATAATTATAATAAAATCTAGAATTAACAAAACATGAAAATAGGAAATAGGATGGACAAGAAAGGGAGAAAACGAACAAAAAAAAAAAAAAAAAAAAACTAAAACATCGACTACAATAAATGTGCGGGGAAAATAATGCGAAAAATAACAAACACGAAACTCCATTTTCCGTTGCCTATGTATTGGCCCAGTAAAGTCCGGAGCTTAGATTTTAGCACAATAGTTGATGAATGATGGGCGAGATGCTGAAAGAGGCTTGAGAGCTCGTACGGGGATCGATGGCCGGCAGTTCAGACGGGGGGGGGGGGGGCGAGCGAGCATGCTGATGTGTGTGGCTGGGGGGGGGGGGGGGGCGAAGTGAGCATGCTGTTGTGAGTGGCTGGGGGAGGGGAGGGAGAGCGAGCATGCTGATGTGTATGGTCGGGGGCGGGGGGAGCGAGCATGCTGATGTGTGTGGCTGGGGGGGGAGGGGGTGAAGGGGAGAGCGAGCATGCTGATGTGTGTGGCCGTGGGGGGGGGGGGGAGCGAGCATGCTGATGTGTGTGGGAGGGGAGGAGGAGGAAGGGGGTGAAGGGGAGAGCGGGCATGTTGATGTGTGTGGCTGGGGGGGGGGGGAGGGAGCGAGCATGCTGATGTGTGTGGCCGGGGGGGGGGGGGAGCGAGCATGCTGATGTGTGTGGCCGGGGGGGGGGGGAGCGAGCATGCTGATGTGTGTGGCCGGGGGGGGGGAGGGAGCGAGCATGCTGATGTGTGTGGCCGGGGGGGGGGGGGGGGGAGCGAGCATGCTGATGTGTGTGGCCGGGGGGGGGGGAGCGAGCATGCTGATGTGTGTGGGGGGGGGAGGAAGAGGAGGAAGGGGGTGAAGGGGAGAGCGAGCATGCTGATGTGTGTGGCTGGGTGGGGGGGGGGGGCGAGCATGTTAATGTGTGTGTGTGTGTGTGTGTGTGTGTGTGTGTGTGTGTGGAGAGGGGAGGAGGAGGAGGAGGAAGGGGGTTGAGGGGAGAACGAGCATGCTGATGTGTGTGGGTGGGGGGAGAGGAAGGGGGAAGGGGGTGAGGGGGGAGCGAACATGCTGATATGTATGGCTGGGGGAGTGGGAAGAAAGGGGGGGAAGGGGGAGCGAGCATGCTGATGCCAGGCTGTTGGGGAAGGGGGGGCATAGAGGAGGAGGAAAGGGGTGCCTGGGCAAAGCATGCACGCCGATGGTGCCTGCTTATTGGGCTTTAAGTAGGGGTGGGGGGGGGGGCAGGATAAAGGGGTGAAGGGGAAAAGGCAAGCATACTGATGGCTCCTGGCTAGTGGGGATAAGAAGGGGGGGGGGGTGAGGAGGAACGGAAAGCTAGTGACGGCCGAAGCGAGCATGGCGATGGTGCCTGGCTATTGGGTAGAG